CCCACATCCATACCCACATCCATAACACTCACACCCACACCCACACCATTTTCATATGCATCAATCGATTTTTCATAGAAAGAAATCGCTGCCTTGGGATCTCCAGATGCATCTTTTATTCGGCCAAGCTGATGATAAAGATTGCCTTTTTCAAGTTGATTAGTCTTTTCTGCTAGCAGTGTCATATAAACAGATTCCGCCATGCTAAACTCACATACTTTTATTAAGAAATTACCCAATCGATGCTGTTCTGTCGGTCCATATATTTCCTTTCGCATTACTTCTGTTAGAAAGCTCAAATAGCCGTCATTATTTTTCGTCATTCTAAGATCTACTTGATATAGTCGAATGTTTTTGTCAATTCTTTGTATGTTTTCAATTCGAAAGACGCTATGTGTGGTAATGAGTACTTCTTCGTCAGTTTGGAAATAACTATAATGTTCAATTGATGCAAATGGAGTTGAGAGAATCGATGGATCTGCGATAATAACAAATAGAGTCCCCACCATAGATTCTGCCTTTGCGGCACGACTGGCAAATTCAACTGATAGTTTGCGTCTTGGAGTTGTCGATAAAAAATTATTAAAGGATATGTATCCGCCTATGCTATTTCTTAATCTTTCAAAGTCTGCTACTGGTAATCCTTGACCACGGAATAACGTCAATAATGTTTTTTGATTGCTCTTGAACTGTTCTAAATGAAGTTGCACAAGTTGTTCGTGAAGGTCTCGAATGAAAAACCCAAACTTAATCATTGTTTCAAATTCTAGCATGCGTAATGAGTGGTTGATCATTTTGTACACAAAAGACTCGCGAATATACCACGAAATAGCTTGATCATTACGGTATCTTTGTTCAAACTCTTCAATTACTTTCAGCTCATTTTTATTGTCAGAATACAGTTGACGACAGAAATTGGTGAGTTCTTTGATTGATTTATCATCATATTTCATTCCCAAAAGGATTTCTTTTAATAGAAGTGTGTACATGTAATCTTGAGTTATAAAGTCCCTATTCTGATTCAATGTGTTATTTGTTAGAATAATGGAAGTTGTGATCGAGTCCTTCTCAACTTTTTCCACAGCCGTTTTGATTGATTTACCAATAGCAGCAGTGCTTGTATGAACACCTTTTATTTTGTACCACGTTTTGGTCCATTGTTCATGTTTTGTCTTGTTTCCACAAAATACAAAAATTGCGTCGATTTGTGGTAAATTATGAATATGTTCGATGACGATTTGACCAAGTGATCCTGATACTAGCATAAACACTTTTTTGTCTTTAATACTATTTAAGTAAGAGATACATTGTTCAGCATCAATGAATGTTCTGATATTATTCAAAACACTCTTTAATTCGTTGATTGTATCACGACAATCTTGATTCGATTCGTTGATACTTGAATCGAGCCAGACGAGAAGAAGGTCTAGATGACACAAACATTCATGAAATAGAGCAAAACCAAGATACATGGTTTGTTGAAAAAAGAAGTTTCACGGAGACGGGAAAATGAATTACGAAGTTCTTGATGGAAAAACAGGAAAACCATGATAGGACATGCGTGTGGATGTGTGGGTGTCAACCTGTAACTAATCATTTCTTTGCTCACCCATACTCATACCCACATCCGATTGTTTCCTGACACACTAAACACATTCAACATATCAGTAAAACTGACTAGCAGAAGCGATAATAGATGGAGGATGATTATTAAATTATCCTCCCAAGATCCAGTGAATTTTGCATCAAAGTATAAAGTTTAGCACACTATTGGAATCTATCTATCCTTTTAAACCAGAACGAACAAACCGACTTAAGTTCTTGGTTTGAGTGTGGGTGTAAGTAATATTCTAACAGGTCGAGCGCACCCAAATGATTGTATGCTACATATCAATTAAATGTATATTTCTATGTGTCTGAGCATGGCGATTCATGTGGTAGCAAATGAAACTTATCTATAAGTCCACTCACATTCGCACAATAGCATATATGTCATACTTGAAAGTTGAATTCGTTTGACACTTCAAGTTTCAAGATTCAATTTTTAAATCGAAATCATTTCGAAGAATCATGAGGAACCCGAAATCTTACACAAACATCATCGTCGCAGGAGGTGAGGGTATGGCGAAAGAAGTTTTAGGGATCATGACTAACACAGATTCACACGTCCACATAATCACAGCAGGTGTGAATGCTGCCAAAGAATCTTGAGATATCATAGTTGAAGCTTTAAAGCTGAGAGTTGAAATTTGAAGCTTGAAACCTGAACTTTCCATTGTATTCAAGTTCCAAGTTTGACACTACTGAAAGATGGTCACTGTGTCTTTGGAAAAATAATTTGCATCGGCCCTTGCTTATAAAGAACTTTTGTGCGATAATTAGTATTCTTACCTGGCTTTGACGTTACACTAACCGATTCTATGGCTGTACCTAATATTTCATCATTGTTTTCTGCTATTTCTACTAA